GGTAGTGGGGGAGGGGTAGTGGGGGGGGGCTTTGGTTGTGCTGTGGCTGATCTTAAATTCCTGAAATGAGAAAAAAGAATATCTTCCCCCCCCATTATTCCCTTGGTTCCAAAAAATACATAGGATGTTCTGTATGACATTTATATAAACATTAAACATATTGCGTCATTTACATTGATGCAAACCTGTGAGGATGTCTTCAGAGGGCTAATTCTGAAGACATCTTTTTTTTTCTGGGTGCATCACGATGAAATGTACTAATAACAAATTAATGAAAACAAAGCTATTGTGTATCACCCTGGCTATGTCGGGTGCTGCAATTAAGGCCCCTATATTTACCAAGTTGACCACTACCACTCTACTGGGTAGGCCTGCTGGGTCCCTCTCACAGCTCTACTCTGTGCAAAGGCTATGAGCAGTACAATTATGATGTAACCAGTACTATTACAAGGTGATCTCTGTGATTGGAAAGGCATTTGGTGTACACAAAGTGGATTTATAGCCCTTGTGGCTAGTTAGGAATGTTTTTAAATGAACGTTCTTGTGTCTGGAGTTCAGAAGTTTCTTAACATGTTTCTAAATTGTCCTATTTTTTTATGTCTCAGAATCAGCCACCAGTTGTCTATTCTCATTACGGTTCCACCTATGTCCACACAATGCTGCATATTTAAGGAAAGTATCACTTAGTACCTGTGGATATCTATAAAGACCTAAGATTTGGGCCATTAGAATGGAGCGTGTAGACCCAGAGTCACCAACGATACCAGCAAAAGCACCTGTTTGTTCACACCGATAATTTGGAACGCTCTCTTTGCCTCCGGATAACATCCACAGAGTTCCTTCTGCTGCCCGTCTGAGTACAGTACAGGTGTCGAAGATCTGGTAGCCCAGAGTGATATTGGGAAGAAGGTCTGGACTCTTGTTAATCTCCTCTATGGCGTATATCATGGCTTGCATGCTCTGGTAATTATCAAGTTCAAGGCTAGTAAAATAAAACAAAAAATACAACGCCCTTTATATGTTTCATAAAGCACACACACAAAAAAGGTCAAGTATTCAATGTTCAGCTTGCCCCAATTTATGAGCCTCAATTATTTCTATGTACTGTTCCTTGACATGTGGCTTTCATACAGTACACAAGGGACAACGAATGGGAGGTTTTGCAAACAGATTCATTATTTTATAAGTTGCACAGAATTTAATGTTGACCAGGAATGTATGCATTTCCAGCCCTTGAAAGAGATGTACACACAACACTGACAGGGTTATTCTCAAGAGGGTGAAGAGTTTGGAGAAGGCAGGAGAAGTGAACAATCTAGGACAACATAGCGGAACTGGAAAGTGAGTGGAACTGTATAATTTTTCCAAATCAGCTATTTTGGCCTAGATTGTTCACTTCTCCGGCCTTCTCCAAACTCTTCACCCTTTTGTGAATAGCCCTGTTAGTCTCTTATCATGACTACTTGTTTTTAACTCTAAAGGTAGGCACGAGGTTAAAAACGAGGTACAATTTCTTATTTTGCTTCTATATACATCAGAGGTGCATAGACACAGCAGAGTAGTTGAAATAGATTAGTTAGGTGTTTTTTTCTGGTAAAGTTTGCTGGGGGCCCCCATTGTCCTGTTTTAAAAGTTGCATAGACTTACAGCTTGCATCTGAGGTCCTCTGGCTTGTTGGCAAAAGTGTTTTCAGTATAGCTTCTGTCCACATGAATAGGGAAAGTACCTCCAATCACTAGGTCTCCAGGCTGGCTCAAATACCCACTGACAGGAACAATGGGCAGGTGACAACCATGCATAGACTCCAGAGAATCCAAGACATCCATAAAAACTATAAAATACACCCACATCTTACAGAACAGCAGGCAAATAGTGCTGCACAACTCGATCATGTGATTGCAGCTGAAAAACATCTCTACTCTGTAGGCCATGGAGGTGCCTATTGAAAATATAAGTATGCTAGAGCTTCTGTTACCTGTTAGTAATATAGACAGAAAAAGACCATCTTATTTCAGAATGATTGAGAAAACCTCTATCCTGAAGCTCCAGATACTCTATACCTCTACAGTCTACTTTATTATTAAGTGGAGATCTTCAGGCCTACGTTGATTACCTCAAAGAAGATACCTAAAATCAAAGTTCTTTTGGAGAAGACTTCTTGACTGGAGGAGTTTTTTTGTTTTTCAAGTGTAACATACAAGAGAAGACTTCCTGATTCCACCAATGTTACATGCAGGAGAAGATCTTATTCATTATATAGGTGTTATATACGAGACACCTTCTGCATTCTAACAATGTTACAAACAACTTCTCAGTGCCCAATACACAAATTATTTTTCCTGACCAAAGCAAATCTAGATTTTTTCGATCACGTCATTGGTACCTATTCCAGAAGACCTACTTCATTGTGTCCCACAATAAACAAAAACAACAATCAAGGTAAGAAACACGGAAATACCCAACTTCTTATATAACAGAACATAGAAGGAACTGATGTCGCTGTACTTAATCATTCATTGAAAGCAAAAGGAAGAACATTGGGGAGAAGACAGACGTGTGGAGAGTATTAGTGACACACGAAATGAGGCCCTATTGTCTCTTGCTTTCTCAGATACCAACAGCTACCAGACAAGACTTCATTACAAGCGGATAACACATACACAATCACTTGCATGGTAGCACTGCCACAAATACTGAGAGACTGTGGCTGACGGGGACTTTATACACTGCAATGTAATTGAACTTAAGGGAATTTAAAGCTGAATCTGGCTATGTGATGAAAATTGATTTCGAAATGTAAAACTCTCCCAGGATAATATTACCGCCAGTATTATATTTTCTGTATCCCTTGTCGCAGCTGGCAGCATCAAAGGTCCCTCTGATATAGTGTATAGATACCACAATTAAATTCCCTAAAGGGCGACTATAGCACAAATAAATAGAATAGCATAAATGTTGCAATATGTCAATAGCAATAACACAGCAGATTTTGTTTTTTCGAGTCCACCCTGTAACATTGTTTTATTATCTGCTGATCCTGCCAGGAGATCACTTATTTTTCAAGTTTTTGTAACAGGCCAAGCTGTCCAGTAAAGTGGCAGATAATGTTATAGAAGGTCCTAATCTCAGCTGCTAAATGGTCAGAGCAGCTGTCAATCAACTGGGGGGAGCATTGATTGTAGCAGATTGGATGTAAGCCAAGGGTGAGCGCAGTCCTGCAGAATTGGCACCTGTCAATCAACTGGGTGGGGGGACACTGACGGCAGCAGATTGGACGAAAGCCAAGGTGAGCACAGTCCTGCAGAATTGGAACCTGACTGCAGCAGGGTGGATGGAAGCCAAGTCCTGCAGAATTGGCACCTGTCAGTCAACTGGGTGGGGGACATTGAATGCAGCAGATTGGATGAAAGCCAAGGTGAGCACAGTCCTGCAGAATTGGAACCTGTTAGTCAACTGCAAAGGGGGGGGCATTGACTGCAGCAGGGTGGATGAAAGCGAAAGGTGAGCACAGTCCTGCAGAATGGGAACCTGTCAATCAACTGGGTGGGGGGACATTGACTGCAGCAGATTGGATGAAAGCCAAGGTTGAGCACAGTTCTGCAGGATTGGCCCCTGTCAATCAACTGGGGGGGGGGGTAAGGTAAGCACAGTGCTGCAGAATTGGCACCTGTCAGTCAACTGGGAAGGGGGGGCATTGGCTGCAGAAGGTTGGATGAAATTCAAGGGTAAGCACAGTCCTGCAGGATTGGCACCTGTCAATCATCCGGGTGGTGCATTAACTGCAGCAGACTGGATGAAAGCCAAGGTCGAGCACAGTCCTGCAGAATTGGCACCTGTCAATCAACTGGGTGGGTAGACATTGACTGCAGCAGACTGGATGAAAGCCAAGGGTGAGCACAGTCCTGCAGAATGGGGAGCTGGTGGTAACCTTATAAAAAGAGCCCCATAGAAAGCAGAAACTGGCTGGATCAACAGACATTTGTTAAACATTTACTACCTATTAGCTATATACACAACTTTATTAGGTGGCCTACCTACAAGCCAAGAAGAAATGATGTCTCCTTAGATTTAAATTGATGTTAGCGGTGTGTGGTGCTTTCTTCTTCACTTATAGTTTTCTATGGAGTTTGGATAGCTCCCTGGTCAGCACCTGCAGCTTGCGAGGACAGCGATCCTGAGAGTGGTGTAGGGCAGTGACAGACCTTTGTGTCTCGTGTGCTTACACACACTTTAATTACTAAAGTATCTTGTTAAGTGTTAAACAAAAAGGTTTAAATTAACAAACGTGTTTTTTTTTCAACCTGACCAACTATGTAACAAAAAAAATCAAATAAAAATTTAGGGTTATACAGTATTTAATAAAAAATAAATCACAAATCTACCGAGGAATTTTAGGGTTTGAGAAATGTAGTACTTATATGTGTTTTCTACTTTCACCTAAAGTTATCCAATTACTTTACAAGACCCCCTAACTAATTCATTTAAAACCTAGATCCCTTGATCAAATTCAGCAGTAATCAGTATGCATCAGTTGACGTGATACTAAACTCAGGAGTTAAATCTCAAAAATACATTCAAGTGCTTTAACTACTAACAAAAATGTATCTAATTTGTGTGTCCCTCAGCTGGAGATCCTCCAATCATCTCTGAATTGGTGCTGACACTGTCCTTCCTTCTGGAGGGGGGCTACTTTTGTTCCTCATGGTCCCTGTGTTTGTTGTAAAGTAATCACCGCTCCAAGCGAACTCCTGTGATGGACTACAATCTCACATTTAGTTTACTATTTGGCATTGAAGTTATAGTCCATCATGGGAGTGAGCTTGGAGCGGTGGCTACTTTACAACACACACAGGGACCATGGGGAACAAAAGTAACCAGAGTGCGGGAGCTTCTAAGCCTTCCATGCTCTATCTAAGGCAAAAACAAGCAGTTGGGTTGGCTGCAGTTGGATATTAAAAAATTATTGCAATAATAATAAATAAATCGAACTGTGTTATCCAATTTTGTAAAATACAATTAATGAGGGCTGTAGTCTAATTTATATTTTTTTCATAAACATGAAATAGTAAATACTATCTGTATGGAACACACAGAAATAAAATGCATAAATAACATAATGCTCAATCATACAATCATTTAATACATAACATTGAATATCTTAAATTTCATCTGAAGCTACAAAATTGTACAAATCTTCAAAGGAGAGTGATTTTACATCCATATTTATTTTGAGGTAAAAGACTAATGTCATGGCTTGTTATCTACAATCTATTTCCGGCCTTTCTCTTTCCCCATGATATGTTCTTTGGAGTTCATCTCTGGTCGAAACAGGATGATGAAACATTTGGGAAGAAACATACAGATCACTAGAGCCCAGCTTGATGACTGGATTGCAAAGATCTCCATGGCCACGGTGTACTTTCCTTTTGAGCTGAGAGAGGCCGGGATGTAGGATATCCAGACACTTAAGAAGGCTAACATACTGAAGGTGATAAATTTGGCCTCGTTGAAGTTGTCTGGGAGTCCTCTGGCCAAGAACGCAACAACAAAACTGATGAAGGCCAAGAGGCCAAGATATCCCAGCATGCTCCAAAAGGCAGTAGGTGAGTTCTCATTGCATTCCACAATAATGATGCCAGGTTGTGTTTCTGTGTTATATTGAGGGAATGGCGGAGCAGCCACCACCCAACTAATGCACAGAAGAAACTGTAGGATAGAACTGGTGGCAATCACCATGTAAGACACATGAGGACTGGTCCATCTCTTCAGGCTGCTTCCTGGTTTTGTGGCCATAAAGGCAAAAACTACCATGAGAGTCTTGGCCAAGATACAGGAGACACAGAGAGCAAAGGCCATACCGAAGGCAGCCTGGCGCAGAAGACACTTTTCAGCCTCAGGATAACCAATAAAAGTCAAAGAACAGAGAAAGCAGAGCGACAGGGACAATAGCAAAATACAACTCACTGAATAATTATTGGCTCTTACAATTGGAGTGGTCCTGTAACGAAGGAAAAGTTTGAAAATGGAAGCTGGGACCATGGAGGAGGAAAGGCTTGTAGCCATCAACATTATTCCCAATGGCTCACTGTATGAAAGATATTCAATGGGTTTTGGCAGACATCGATCCTTTTCTGCATTCGGCCACATATCCCATGGACACTTGGAACAATCTATGGCATCTGAAAGATGAAGACTAATAAACTAGTTGTCAAAACAAGTCAAATTTGAAAGTGCACCTGTCATATAAGGTAGACATCCTATGGTTATTGTAAAATGGAAAAAAAAGCTAGGAAGTGAAAGGGAGAGATAGCACTGCCCTCCCTCTCACCTCATGGCCTATGGCAAAATGCACAGTAGGTCTTGTAAGTCTTGGCCACCTAATAGCAGCTGAACGCCACAAGTGTAGAGTAAGGGCATTTGCTGTCAACATTTTTCATTGTAATGGTGGCCAATGTCAACAGTGCATGTCCTGACGCTCATGTACATCAGAACTCCGCCCTACTCTCCCCTTACTTAGCTGCTGCTCTACTCTATTCTCCCCACACCCCCCACCAACCACATAGTCACTGTCATCCTTCACAATTTTGTCAAGCATGCTCAGTGGCAGTGTCTAGACTCTTGGTTGGTCTCACGCAAAATGAAAGTGATATTCACAATGACACCACTTTGTTGGTACTCAAGCTTTAAACGTCCAAAGTGAATGTGTTGTGTCCATATCATTTTGCCAAGCCAAGTGCCTGGAAGTGACTCCCACAAATGTGTGGCAACACTGTGCAGGAGGCCAGTACTCAGTAACCGTGGAGGCAAGTGAGGGAGGGAGGATGGTGGGCAGGCTTAAGGCTGAGGGGCCCCTGGCAGAGCAGTTCTGAAGATGAATGAAGCATAGTGCCATGTTACTTCTACAGTGTATTACTGAATTACTGTATGGGAAGGAGGGGTGGAAACTATCAGCTAGGCAGGCTATAGTGAAACCACTCTGTAGGCAAGTTCAAAGCTAAGATCAAGCTGAATGATGTATTCCCGCAGGTAGTTAGGTCACTGCAGGGATATTCAGGGCCAAACATCAAAACCAAAATAAGGGGGAAACTCCAGAGTAGGAGTCAGTGGAGGCCAGAATAACAATGATGCCGGGACAGAAGAGGTCAGAGACTAAAGTGAATCTGTAAACAGTTGGACACACTAGCTACCATGCTCCAGAACTAGCAATGTGAAGTGTCAAATGTTGCCCTTTAATAGGGAATACAACACTTTGTCTTCTGTGTAGGAGAGCCGCAGCTCTCATAGTTGCAATACTAGAAGTATAGCAGGAGCTGGAATGAAAGTGTGGAAATGACAGCGATACTTATAGTAAAAGTTGTGTACACCTCATTAGACTTCATATTTAAAAAAGAAATGCCTGAAGTTCTGCTTTAAAACTAAAAAGATCAAGTCACCTTCCTACATGCCTACTTCAATCCCCTGCAGCTTGTTATCTGCAAGACCAGAACGTTTTGCATTTGTCCTAAATCTTCTTACCTGTGTCATTAGAGATCTCTCCCTGTGGACAAGGGACACATTCAAAGCAGCATATGGGCTCTCCTCTACGGGGTGCCTTCCTGAACCCCGGCAAGCAGCTAACGCTACAAATAGAGATTGGGACCTGGGGAGAGATTCACAATGGATTAAGATGACAGTAATACAAAAAGGATATAAAGTTGACTAGAACGTAATCATGATAGAACACGATGGAGAACTGTAGCACTGGGCTAATCATAGTTATGAGCATACTGATTAAGGCAATGAAGTTAGAAAAAGGAAGGCAAAGGCGAAAAAAAAAAAAGGCTAAATTAAGACACAGATACAAATACAGGAGGATGGACCTGGCAACCAATTATGTATCTGTTGGTAAACTACAAGAGCAAACATTAAACAAAATCTATTGACATCTAACTCTGTCCCTGTAACCTTCTATCTTGATCTCTAACTCTGACCCTCAGTCACAAATCTACATGACTCTTTAAAAACCTTAATCCTCCTGTCCCATCGCACTCCTGACAGGACAAACATCCAAATCCAACTGGGTGGGTGCGGTGGTGACAACGGATGCCTCCGTGAAATGTAGATAGATGAAAGTAGTCACTCGGAGATGCTAAGGAGATGTGTGTTATCTCATTCAATAAACAGCATTGACTTTAATATCATGGAGTGCGAGTGACTACTTTCATCTATCTTTATAAACCTTGACGCATGCCTCTTTGTGTGAATCAGAGTGAATCTACTTAAATGTATGTAAATACAAATCATTAACTGCCTTTGGTCTGTTAAATATGCCATTAAAAGCATTTTGTTATATCTGTCTAATAGGTGCAAAAAAGTATGTTGCTCCTGACAGAAATCTTGTGAGCTGGTAACTTCCTGTGCTCTCGGACTCTGCATACTGTTATCAGCTTGGAGCAGATGGAATGTTTTGTATTCCTAATACGCTTCTTTTATTAGGGCCCCAGTACACTCAACAAAAGAGGCTTTTCAAGTCTTTTACTTGTTACAAAAATTAAATATGTATCAATGTTGAAGGAAGATTTCAGGTACCTGTATTCACCCCTGTGGCTGCCTATGTGTAGACCTGTTCCAACAGCATTGTTCATTGACTTTTAAACTATTCTTAGACTATTCTGCAGCTTGGATCACTTTTGTACCATTTTAGCTACAAATAAGTTTAACAGCAGACGCTGTATGAATGTACCTCCTGTTTCCCATCTGGCCACCACACTGAACTTGTATTTACGGAAAAGGTTTCTCCAGATGAGGCCACAGTGTCGTAGTTTCCAACCTTCATCTGGACCATGGCACCCTCTTGGTTCTTTTGCCAGTTCACCACATCATAGGCGGCTGGTGGATCCCCATTCTCATCAAAGAAAACTTTTCTCTTGTCACTCAGTTCAACCCGTACTTTCTTGAAGTAGTGTAAGAGCTGTAAAGATAGCAAAGCCCAGAGATGTACTTAGCTTAAATGTAATCATTAGACCATGCAAAGAAAAAACTGTGTGCCATGTAACCCAGGAGCAATTACTCAGAGTTTGAGAACTTACAGTAATCAAACCAAATGAAGACCAATGAAAATTGATTTTGGACTGATTGCTACCAAGGATAGACAAACTGCTTGGTGCACAGAACGAAGACATAGGAAAACCTTAAAAGACCCTGTATTACAAATATGCAAATGGAGGAGGTTTGGGTTAATGTGTTGGCAAAATTATCCCCATGGTCAATGTGGTCTTCGTTTGGGAAAATTGTCTATTTTTTCTACTGAAAGCCTCTGAATGAAATATCTCAAATAATCCCCCAATACCACCATTGCTGACCTCCCTCTAAAAATCTAAGTTGCCTGGTGACTATGTGGACCTTGTTTTAGGATATTCTAAGTCACTAACTCACTACATGAATGCAGTCAGGGACATAAGAACTATTGATGTGTATGAATGTTCAGAGGATTGGCATAACGCTGAGGTCAGCACTGTATTTCTCTTATAACTGGTGGTTTACTTTAATGCAGAAATAAATATCTCTGAAGTATAAAAAGTATAACTGATTGAGTTAAGTGAAAATAATGGCATAAATGAAACATTCTGTCCCCATTCTGGTGAACCTGACATGGGAGCTCCAGGGAATGATGTCGGAGTTCATGACCACTAATAGAAACGTTTTGGGTTTGCAGATTTATAGAGGCCAGAGGAGGTTTCCTTTCTCACATTACCACCAATCAGCTATTTGCTGGATCACTAGTTTTAGGCACCAAGATCTCGGTGCTCACAGATCATTTGTCAGGACTGTTCATTTTTGTTACTTATATGTATTGCATTTCATAACTATGAAAAATGTAGGAGTTAGGTTAGTGTTGGGTATTAAATTAAGGGTTCATCTAGTGTTTAGGGATACAGGGTTAACCTCTTCCCACCTGGCAATCTGTATATTAATGTTCTCCACGAGGATGCCCCATACTAGGAATATTTTTAAAAAGTCCTCCTTATGAGGTTTACCAGTAAACACTTTGTATGGCTTGTGGCTGTTCCTGTCACTGACAACTCCGATCCTCACTCTGCCAGGTATGACATAGTGATCACATGCAGACTGGAGGCTCCATTGATAAAATAAATCTTTAGGCTGCAGATGGCCAGTACATCCTAAGGTGTCGTTTTTTTTGTGATTAGGTCTTCAGCCTTCAGATGTCACTGCAGCCCAAAGGTCGCAGTGGTCATCTGTTTAATACTGTCATTGTCTGAGACATATGAACAATGGTACATTTGGCCTTGACTTTGAGACATCAATGACCTCTGATCACAAAAGGGCTAGTTTTAGGTCTGGGGTTTATAAGGTATATTAATATTAAACTGGAGATAGTTTTAAAGGTTACGGTGAGGATTGGGTTGAGGGTTAGAGTAATGTTGGAGTGTAAGGGAGTGTTAGATAAAGGGTTTTGTGTTACATTGTTGGCTCAAGCATTACTTACATAACAAAGATAACTAAATGTAATATTTGTTGATATTCTATATAAAGATGATGAATAATTCTCTCCTAGATGTACATGAATTGCATACTGTATGTATCATCAGACTTAGGAAAACATTTTTGGACAGCCTTTTACCTGCCACGCTTTAAATTTCTCAATAACTCTGCACTTTCCCCTCAATAAGGATCCCTCCTCATCTTTGCAAAGCGTAAGGTCATCAAGAGCTTTAGCTATAATATAGACAGCAGTGTAAACATTGTAAGCTGTTCTCAAGCTTGACACATCATTATAAAGATTATGGATGCTATTGAGGTCCTCCTCTCCAGTACATACATTCAATGCATTCCTTGAGCCATTGACATTCTTTTGGTCAGGCAATGTGCACCCAAAAGCTTCCTCCCAGAAAATGTTGGCCCAAGAAGGACCTGGAGTATTGTACGGGTCAATGCTGTTTAGATAGTGTTTAAAGTTTTGGATCTTTGAGCTGTGATAAGCAAAACCAATTGTTCCCAACAAGATGGAAGAATATTTATCTATTGAGAGTACATTTGAGATAGACCAAGCTTCGCTAGCTACAAAGACTTTCCCAGTTGCATTAAGTGCTAAAAGTTCAACAAATAAAGGAATAAGGTAGACGTCCGTAGAGAAAAGCACCACAACTTTAGCTGTTGAGGTCTTAATGTCCTTGGCGATCTCACGGATGTTTTTGTAGGAGAGTACGGTCTGTATATACTTTGTGAATGCCACACAAGCTCCAGATTTTGCTATTTCTTGTTTAATGATCTTTATACCCTCTTGGCCATAATCATCATCAGCAGCAACAAGACCCACCCACGTCCATCCAAAATGAATGACCATTTGTGCCAGTCCCTGAGACTGGAAAGCATCACTTGGAACGGTCCTGAAGAAGGAAGGGAACTTTGTCCTGTCGCTTAGAAGAGAACTGGTTGAGAAATAGCTTATCTGTTGGGTGAAAATTGCATTAAAATTATCCTATTTAAAAAAGAATCGCTTGTGGTTTTAACTGTCTTTTTATACTATTGTTATGAAATGTGCATAGTAGATGTTTACAGTGGAAACTAACTTTGGTGGCCCTAAATCAAAAAGGAAAAAAATGAGAAGGGTGGTGGTGGTGGTGAAGGAGATACAGAAGAGACTACATGTAGTAATATATGGTCAAAAATGTTTACCAAAAGGATTCTGATTGAGAAAAATGTTGTACTCAAATTTGTTAGGTTGCCTTGTGCATGCTACTGCTGGCAATCTGGATCTTCTGCATGTGAAAAATATACAGTATATGTGTCTACTCAGACCTGTCAGCATTGGATAGCTCTCTAGAGTATGAAGGTTTCTTGACCTTCTCTGGTGCCCCAAATAGATCATCAAGGTCATGATCTTGGACTGTGTATGCTAGATGTGCTGTCTAACATAAGGGAATGGGCGTTGAAGCGCTGTTCTACGGGATTATGCAATAATACATTTCTTAGCTGCATTCCAGGCAAACTTAACAAAACGTATCTGCAGACAATATGCCTAAAGGTGTTTAAAAGTATTAATAGCATTTTATATTGGAAACAAATAAAGAAAACTTTGGAATACAAGCTGTGTGAAGAAAAGTAATTTATTTTTAAATAATCCTTCAAAGGCATTTCTCGACATCCATACCTATAAGGGAGACTTTTTTTTCTACTACACAACACCCTCTGGTGGACCCAAAGAAGCTCTTACCATAATTTGTATCTATGCACAGCATACGTGCGCTATAAAGTAGATTTGATTTTGTGTTTTTGCCCTCTTCTAAAGCCAACAGCTAAGCAATCCCCATTGCCAATGTTGCCATCTTCTCCACTGCTTCTTGTAGATCCAGCCTCTTCCCTCTTCATTGGGTGTCATTGGGTGGCAACTCATGATGTGCCTCTTGTGCATTCGTACTGAAGTAACATTAAGCCGCCACCCGTCTAACTCTTGGCACCTGACAGATTGCAAGAGTGGATCCAGAGCATACACTGCATTGTGCATGTGTTGAAGGCAGCGTACAAACAAAAATGGTTATGCCTCACTCAACAGGGGAAGAGCCTGTGTCCAGTGTAATGTTGATCTTTGGACAATAATCTTTAATCTTCCCAGGGAATTTATTTGAACTGGGGTTCTGCTTTAGAACAAATACACAAAGACTCTGATTGGTCAGCTTTTATCTAATGGCAGCCTCTAAAACCTGTGTGTACCACATGGGCTTTGGTTTTCTAACCTCTGATGGGTTCTGTGCCTTACCTGCGGGTATCTGTACAATCCCAAAATGTGAGCCATGAGGATGGAGTACGTGGATGCTGAGTGGCCAATGATGGCAGCCAGAGGTGGACGGTCACGACAGCAGTAGTTGGGTATGACGCTATCATAGCCTGTCAGCATCCACAGGGTGCCCTCTAGCTCCCTCTGCATTACAGCACAGGAATCATACGCATAGAAGCCCAGGGTGATGTTGGGGAGAAGGCTGGGACTTTGGTTGATCTCATCAACAGCAAAGCTCATAGCCTGGAATTGCTGATAGTGCTCAAAGCGGAACCTAAAAGAGAAGAATGAGACAAGTGTAAGAAAAAAAAAAAAAAGTTTCTTGTTTGTAAGTTGTATCAATTATTTCAACAGCTGAAACAAATTATTATCAGACAATAAAACAATGCTCAATTTAGACAATCTCCTACCTCATAGCAGGTAAAAATGTCCTTCTCATAGCAAGCAGAAACGTCCCCTCCATGTAGCCCCCTGAAACTGATTTCACTTTCCTACTGGAACTTTTGGCAAAATAAAAAGGCAGGTAAGGCAGCTCCCATATAAACTGGCTGTCCCCAAATAAGTCACACACTGTAATATTTCATTGGACTGCGTTTAGCTTTGTGTGTGCCCTGTTTGTAGCTACGTATGGCTACAGACATTGGCCGTGGCATCCTTTAAATAAGCTTATGTAATGTCACAACATTTAATTCCATCCAGAGTTGTATTAATTTCTCACCAAGATCTTGTAGTGATGATGAGAAAGTCGGACCTCTGTGTAAAGTCTTCTCCAGAACATCCCAAAGATTCTCGATGGGTTTGAGGTCTGGACTCTGTGGTGGCCAATCCATGTGTGACAATGATGTCTCATGCTCCCTGAACCATTCTTTCACAGTCTGAGCCCTGTGAATCCTGGAATTGTCACCTTGGAATATGCCCAATGTGCCATCAGGGAATATCTATTGATGGAAAAATCTGGTCATTCGGTATATTCAGGGAGGCAGCTGACTTCATTTTTTTTGGGCACATAATGTTGCTGAACCTAGATCTATTGTCCAATGGAAGGCTCTGACCTATTTGCTCAGCTAAATCCAGGTGGTGACTTTATTTTGGGACAGGCAGCGCATATGTATTTTATCTGTGTATTTAGCTGCTTGCCAGAAGCCCAGCTTTATCACTAGGGCATGGTTTAGATTTATACTTTTATGCTTTCAGTTGGCTGACAACAGAACCTTCTGGGTTCACTGGTTTGTGGGTGGAATGCTGCATACTATGGCTGCCATTGTGCTCCATAGTGAAGTGGTTTGCAGTTCTTTGGACCACTTTTTTACCATTTAAAGATATGCCATCACACTCCAGACCGACTGCATTGCAACGGCAGCGGGTGCTGAAACAGGTAGTGAGGTCATCAGTACATCCAGGTCCACATCAGGTGCACACCGAGGTCATCAGACAAAACAAGGTGACATTGCTTTGCCGGGTGAAGGGACCAGACTGGTTTCCGAAATGTTGCAATCTTTTGTGATAGCATGTTTATGTAACGTCAATAAAGGGGTGATTAATAATGTGGACCTTGGTGTGCTGGTGACCTCATTACCTCTACACTCTTTTACAAGTCCTGTCTTATAGAAAGTAATGCAAATGATGAGTTCTGTTCTACTGAAGCAACACCAGGGCCTGTGTTGAGGGTCTTTGGGGTTAGGTCAGCGGATACATTCAGCAGTAATCCCTTCCACCCTAAGTGGAGTGGCTCTTTAAATGTAGTGTTTCTAGCACTGTAATCAGTCAGGCTGATTTGTAGTCTGACATCATTTGGTTAATTCTAGGTGTTCTGCTATTGATTGCACCTACCTGTCAGTGGAGTGTGACCCCGCCACAAAGTGAGGCAGCCAATAGGGGAACATTAGGAGTGTCTGTACCTCACCAGCCAATCACTAGGAGTTTCATGGCCAGTGGTGCATGCTGGGGAAGTGCATAAATACTCTTTGTATTGCTATTGAAATTGCTATGTGCTAGGGCAGTCCACCCCCCGGGCCTTGGATGTACACGGTTGGAGAAGCTGACTAGGCCTCAAGTGTGACAAGCCTGCAGGAGGCCAGATGTGGACACTGGTGGTTGCCTGGAACTATCTGGGAAGGAGAACCAGAGTAGCCCTATGACTGCTGGAGGAGCCAGGAAATTCAAGATGGCATGGACCTCAGGAACAAGTCTGGTGTCTCGCCCAGGGAAGATTTCAAGAATGTCCACCTCTATCCAGCTGTGGATCTGTTGCACAGTGTAATCCTATGCTCAGCTGAAGTATTCCTGCACTGTAGAAGCTGGAAGGCATTGGTGAGTCTGGAGTCTACCTTTTCCATGGATGTCTGAAGACCTATACCCTCTTTCCCAGTTTGGCTGTTGTACAATAAAGCATTTAAAAAGGCACTTAAAGTGACTGGTGCTCAATTACAGTTCACATCCCACAACCTGGCTAAGGATTCACCCCTGAGAGTGAAATGTCAGCCCTCCCTCCTTTGGGGGTCCACTACAGGCCTTTAGGGGTCAGGGGGGCGCTGCACAGCTTTCTTTGAGGAGCATTCCGCATGCATTTGACATCAGTTTGAGATGTTTCTGAGATCATTCATAGTCGAGTGACAAGCGCATTTGACATGGCGTTTACCATCTTCTGACCTGCAGTGGACCTTCTTCTGACCTGCAGTTGACCTGATTCTCAACTGCACCAACCTGGTTTTAGCCCGACTTGAGGAGGCTATGGGGAGAGAAGAGGTACTGATTCAAAAAACCTTATTGACACTGGCCCTTAGAGGGGATTGTTTAATATTTGTTCCTCTCAGGAAAGGAAGAGGAAGCACGAAGTGGGTCCAGCACATAACTTGTGTTGGGTTACCACGCACTTGCTGCCACTGCTGTAATCTTGTTTCTCATCTGATGGAATCACTTTAGAATTTTGATTCCATCCATTGGTAATACATCATTATGGAACCATATAATGGTGTGAGATTCCACATCCAGCTCCACAACAATACACAGCACTTCTACGACTTGTCTTACATTGTGCAGACATCTGCGGGGGGTTTCTCTTTAAAGGTGACTTCTGGGTAAAGTTTGTCGATGTGAAGGGGAATCACAGCTCCAATGAGAACATCTCCAGTTACCAATATCCCGCTGTGAGCCAAGTCTGACGGGTTACCATCCGAGTACGAGGAGGGGACATTGTACAAGACAACAAGGTGCCAGAGCGTTTGGTAGAGGTGGGGCATCAACCTGCAAAAAAAATTAAATAAATAATACTCCAAAAAGGACCTGTTGGTTTTCAAATATGATATTCATCAATGAGATGTCAGTCTCAAATGTCCTGATCTTTTTTTATTTGCCCAAAAATCACGTATTTTCAGAGTTTTCATTTTCCAGCACTGCCTTCTTGGCTCTCACACAGCAGTGAGAAGGTGAAGATCAGCGGTCCATCAAAGCCCAGGCATCTAAGACATCTGCTGAGATATTCAGGTGCAACTTCTCTATATGTTCTGTATAGGGGGAGTGTGTGTGGCGATGGCGATGAAAGCATGGCATGTCAGTTTTTGCCCCTGGATGTCCCACCTGACACCTCGCCACTCCTCATGGTCACAAACTGCTGAGCTACCTTCAAACCCCCCTCCACATGTGGGTGCATATCAGCGAATATTGTGTTGCCCCTTTACAAACCTACCTTATTGCGCTAGGTTGTGGCGCTCCTGTTCCCTCTTTTTGTTTTTCCATGTCAGTTTTTGCCACTGGATGACCCACATGACACCTCGCCACTCCTCATGGTCACAAACTGCTGAGCTACCTTCAGATCGTACTTTCGATCATCGCAAGCCCTCCCCACTGAGGGGCGGGCTTCCGATGATTCCAATGCCGAGTGGGCAGTGTGCGCTTGCGCACACCGGCCCGTTCGGCATTTGTCTTCCGAGCATGCTACCAACCCGTACGATTCCCCGATAGGTTTTCTAGCGTGCTCGGAAGACAAAAGACGTGCAACCGTCCCGGGAGCTGCCCGATACAGCCATGCACGCAGCACGGAGCTGTAGGTGCCAGCCTTTTCTCGTGTGAATGAGGACTTAGGGATTTTCAGATACCAAGCGCTGTACTCGGTACAAGTACTGATACCATTCCAGCAACTAGACTAGACTAGAGAGAAACTCAGAAGTTAGGAGGCAGCTGTCATTTAAGGAGCATTGGCTGCGGGGCCACTGGGATTTGTGCATTCCTGTTTTAATGTATGATTTGTTTTCTATACTGTATATATTAGGGATGGACCAATACCATTTTTTCAAGTACAAGTACTGATACTTGTCCAAGTTCTCACAGATACAAGTACTGATACATATTTGTTTAGTGTCATGTGATCAGACTAATGATTTCAGGACAGTGGTGGAGCTCCAGAGCCCGGTCCCAGCTGCAACCTCTGCAACCCTGGTAGTTCTTGTGAAAATGCCAAGTATCTGCACTGGTATCTGAACATCCCTAGTAACTATTATTTGGTGCATACGAAATAAAACAGTTCTCTGTGACCCAAAGATTTCTGACCCCAAACCTTTACCTGCAAGAGAAAGATCATCTGCTGACAGCGGTGTGTGAGTAGAAATCTGCAGACTTTACTCTCCCAGGTGATACAATGAGACACATTTTACACAGCACAAGCTTGTCATTGTGATGTCTATATGACTATAGTATCACAGTGGCCGTGTCTGTGGAAAATAGCCGATACTTGGAATAAGCGGTTGGATCCGAGGTGGAGAGTGCAATGTGCTATATAATATGTGTTTTATTTATTGCCGGATCACACTATAGCATTGCACTAAAGATACAAAGTCTGTGCACTTACGGCACGCTATCGCACAATGCAATGTACTGACTGCTGGGTGTTCTGGTGCCTTGCATTGCCATTTATTCTAAATGGCGCCCTAATGCAACGGTACCGCAATAGAGTGCATTGCATAGCCGTGTGGTGAAAAAAAAGTGCATGCATTTTTTTTCTTCAGCACGTGGTATTGAGGTCCTGCGCATTGCAACACACTCCTGCTGGGGGCTGCATTGGGGTACCTTTCAAAATGAATGTCAATGCAACACGCCAGCACACATAGCATGTAGTGCATTGTGCTGTGCGATAGTGCGTGCTAAACACACAGGTACCGTGACTTTAGCGCAGCACTATAGTGTGAATCCGCCCTTGATGTGAGTGTGGCTGCACTCTACTGCTGGTAACAGTGTTTCTCCATACAGAGCAATAGAATACCGTAACTTCCTATGCACCTACCTCATTCTGTCCGTCTCCCCTGTGCTGCATTCACTGACTGCCCTTTATATAAGATGTATACAGGTAAACAATATCACCCCCTCCCTCTCCTAATTACAGTCCATTGTGGTTACCTCTGCTTGTTCCGGATAATTACCAAGGCCCATGTGCATTCCACACCATGAGGACACTTAACTTTGTATTCTACAATGGATACAATGATTATCATCTTCTGAATGCTAAAAGTTTATAATCCTTATAACAATGAACAAGGGATACTTTCACATTTCACATTCTAAATCTGATTATGGGTAGAGGGAAATGTAGCTGGATTTTATATATACATATATATGTATGTATATATATACTTTTATATATGTATGTGATGTGATGTTTATAAATGTGATTTTTCTAAATTTATTACAAGCAAATATTGACTACTGTCCCTATAATGAGCCTCAAGCAGCATCTATTTGGGTCATGAGGGGGGCAGCAGGCGTAGTGGCATGGCTGCTCTGCTGCACAATGTTTGCAGTGTGCCTGCTGTCCCCTTTCTGGATAGATTGTCCCGGGTTGGTTAGGGCCAAGCGGGCAGATGTGTAAGGGCCATATATATTTCCTGCCCAGCAGTTAGCAACCTGGGACGCTCTGGCCGCCTCCTGCTCACCTCCTGGCAACCAGTAACTTTTCTACGTATGACTCAAGTCCAAATCTGTGCAGTAAAATGCAGTACAGTTAGGAATGAGGTTCAAGATAAAGTGCATAGGGAAAGATTATTGTATGGCTTGTACTCACTGGCAGGTCTGGTGAACTAGATGTGAACCCTTGTGGTAGAAAAATGCTGTGCATCTGGAGAATATGAGGGTGGGGGGATGGAAGCTGTTTTACCTTTTTTCATCCTTTGTTACATTTTAGCTCTGCTGATGTCCTGCAGCTTTGTACAGCCTGTTCATGTGTACTACAGTGATAACAGGCTGCATGTGTTTTTTCAAGGGCATATTCCTTATTACTGCTGGCTGCAATTTATTTTACTCCCAGGCCATTTTTTAAAATGGTGACAGCAGTGGAATATGCCATGGCAACATGTAGCAGTACAGAAGCTTATAGTTTCCTTTATGAGAGCATGTAACTTACAATAGACATGTGCGGTTTGTTTCGTTCCGCATTAAAATTCAGACAAATATCGGCATATTTGGACAGTCGGATGCATCCGAATTTCTGAATGAAAGAAATAACAAATCCGAACTAATCCAAATTTTTCAACAACGAAAATTCGGATGCATCCAAATTTCCCCCCAAATGTCATTCGGAAAGAAGTTGTGGTGTTAAACGTTAAAGTCCCCTGCCCAATTCCTACCAGACCATTTAGGTCTAGTAAGAATTTTAAGGGGGACCCCAATTCCAACCCCCCCCCGTCACTGCTCGAGGCCCCGGCCTTCTTGCAGTCTAATGACGTGCCACAAGATTCCTCAGCGTAAGCAATGGAAAGCTAGTAGCTTGCCATCCAAAAAAACCTGACCCCGACATGATTTGAACACGCAACCTTCTGATCTGGAGTCAGACGCGCTACTGTTGCGCCATGAGGTCTAGCTGGGCTCAAACTTTGGACGATTTGGAAGCTTTTGAGCATATTTCTATGACCTGTGCTGTGGCGGTCTTGATTATCTCTGCGTGATTCCATAGAGGTCCATCGCACAGCTGCCAGCTTTGGCTGGTTAGCTCAGTTGGTTAGAGTGTGGTGCTAATAACACCAAGGTCGTGGGTTTGATCCCCGTACGGGCCATGATCCATTTCTTCTTGCACCGGTATTTGACCATGGACATCCCTGCATCGAATACTTTGGTAGTATTGCTATGTATGTAATAGATTGAAAGTCTATTACATACATAGCAATACTGACATTTTGGCTGATGCAGGAAAGGGCACACAGCTGCCGCACCCAGCACTGGATCAGAGAATCTGACTGCTCTTAAGGGGGAAGGATGAGAAGGGGCCGTGCCAGGCCAGGTTTTGGGAGAGACCAGGTAGCTTTTGATACAAAACAAAAATAGAAAATAGTGTGTATTTCATTGACTGAGAAAAGCCAGAAACATAATGTACTGACTCAATGCACAGTATTTGTACACTCGTTTACTAGGTCTCATTTTGAAAAGGAGAGACACCAGTCGACGTTAATCAAGGAATTCACCTTAGAGGGTAATATTTCACAGAAAAAGCCTGCAAAGTGTCACCTACCTGGTTGGAGACCGATAGTTGAGGAGGCTTCCCTTGCAGCTCACGTCCCTCGCCCTTTGGGATGGGAACAGAGTGGAGAGACAACGAGTAGCACGAGTGCCAAGCATGATGCAGACACTGTGCAGTGCTGAAAGTCTAGGATCTGGAACTGGAGTAGGTCAAGTAGAGCCGAGGTCAAACCGAGCGGGCAGCAGGCTACTGGAGCAAGAGACAGGAGCGTGTGGTGTTCCCCAGACTCTTGATCCAAGCAGCAGGAAAGAAAAGGAAAGGGGCGGACAAGTCACGAACCAAGAGATCAGTCAGCCAAAGCCAGGGTCATACATGGAGAACAGGGATAACAGCAGTGCACTTGGTTGATCAGAACAAATACAAGGGCAGAGACTGAATGGACAAGCTGATGGTTAAATAGTAAGCTGGTGTTTGCAGCAGGAATTTGCCAGGAGTTGCAGGAAACAGTGCAGGAAACACTACACAAGCCATGCTGCAAGCAACAGGTCAAAGAAACCCTGACAGTACCCTCCTCTCAACGAACCCTCCCCACGGGAGAACAAATGGCTTATGGGGAAAGCAAGCATGGAAGTCACTGAGGAGGGTGGGGGCGTGAACATTGGAGGACCAGGTACTGGACTTGACCCCTGACATGACGAGAGTCAAGGATGCTGCATATCTCATACTCCTCATGGTCACCAGCAGTAATAGGAGGAGGAGTGGTGGTGTAACGATTACACACTAGCGGCTTCAAGAGTGACACACGGAAGACATTGGAGATACACATGCTAGAAGGGAGGTCAAGTGCTAAACAACAAGGTTAACCTTGCAGAGACTACGGAAGGTTAACAATAAAATGGGGTGCCAATTTCGGAGTAGGCACTCTAAGGTTGAGGTTACAGGCCTACAACCACACCCTCTCCCTGGCCTGGTAGGAAGGAGCTGGTAGACGCCTGGAGCTTTTGGCACTGCATAGAGGCATGAAGGGAATTTTGAATTTGCATCCAAGAGGAACGGAGTGCTCGAAGATGATCCTCCAAAGCTGGAATACCCTGAGGCGTAACAGATTCGGTAACACAGATGGCTAAAACTCGTAGTTAGCCATGAACAGGGACATTTGGAAGGTCTAGTTTATAGTACTGTTTTTAGCAAACTCTGCCCAAGGTAGCAGATCAGCCCAATGATGGTCTGAGACATAACAGTGGAAAAATTGCTCCAGGGCTTGGTTGGATTGCTCAGCAGCTACATTGGACTGCGGATGATAGGCCGAGGAGAAGGAGAATCAAATTCCCGAGTGCAAAAAGGCCCACCAGAATCTAGAGACAAACTGGCTGCCCCGATCCGATACTATCTCCTTAGGTATACCGTGTAGGCGGAAGACCTCCCTGGCAAACCCCTAGGCAAGCTCCTGGGCTGCGGGCAACTTCTTAAATGGTATGAAATTGGACATTTTGGAAAAACGGTCAACAACCATGAGGATAATGATATAACCACGAAACACAGGCAGGTCAATGATAAAGTCCATGGCTAGGTGGGACCAAGAACATTCCCCATTGGAAATAGGTTGTAGTAGACCCACAGGAAGGTGCCGAGGGCATTTGATTTGTGCACAAATGAAACATGCGGCCATGTAAGCAGCAACATCAATGCGGAGAGAAGGCCACCAGAACTGGCGAGAACTAGCCCAAGTTATCTGATTCTTACCAGGGTGACCGGTAGGACAAGGACAAGCACCTCTCCATAGGAAATTCCGTAGCCCAAAAAGGTAAACTGGGACTTTTGAAATTCACATTTCTCAAGTTTACAGAAAAGCCCATTCTCACATAAACATTGCGAAACTTGTCTAACGTCCTAGTGGTGCGATTCAAGAGAGGAGTGTATTAAAATGTCATCTAAATAGACTACCAAACATTGCTGTAGCATATCATGGAGAACAGATAAGCCCCCCGTCTGCAGATCCCCACAACCCTAGCCCGTTGGATCATCGACATGGGGACAAGATGCTTTTCCAGGTGGTCGCCCCCTGGCAAAGCACCTGCCCTATGTGGAAGGCATGTGTCCTGGTATAATGCAAGGGGG